GAGGCTGAGGGTGGTGGGGGGGTGGTGATGCTGAGGGTGGTGGTGAGGCTGTGGGTGGTGGGGAGGCAGAGGGTGGTGGGTGGTGGGGAGGCTGAGGATGGTGAGGCTGAGGGTGGTGTGGGGTGGTGAGGGGTGAGAGAGAGCCTACCTTTACTCCTTGGTGGTCCAGTGGGCTCCCTGGTGCTCCGGTGGCCATTGCTTCCGGTCTGCAGCTCCGCAGAGCTGCAGATCATGTAATCTCGCGAGACCATCAGAGTGTTGCCGTGGTAACTGGAGCTGCAGACCGGTGTCTGCGGTGGCTGGCCGGGCAGCCAGGAGGGGCCTCGCACCCGGCAGCATACCGGGCAAGCCGCCGCGCCCCCTCCTGGTTTCAGGTCCTCAGTCAGCGACCGAGGACCTGACACCATCTGCCCACAGGCGGTTTAGACGGCCGCGAGGCCCCAGCCAATGCGAGGCCTTAGGTGGCCGCTTAAACCACCTAATTAGAGAGCCGCCTCTGTATATATATATGTAAATTTCACTACAATTCTTATTTAATTAAACATGTAACTGCTGCAAAATCAGATGTGATGCATTCATGTAACAAGCAATAATAACTGACTTAAAGAACAACCCTACTTCCGTAAAAAAAAACAAGATAGAGGGGTATGAAAGAGACCACCAGAGTTCACAGGGTAAGGAGTACATGGCAAGAGGACAGCGAGGTGGCAAGTAGTAAACATGGATCCTCTGAGGCGTTCTCTGGGATCAGCTCAACACACACTGAAATGCCTTACTCTTTCAGTTACCATGCCAAGAATCATCTACTTCTTACTAGAGGAACCATCACTGAAACCACAAGTGCAAAGTGATCAGTCTCCAGGATTCGGGAGAGTTTCCCCAGGTTATCCATAAGATGGACCTGTTTAAACTGCTTGTAGATGACTTTGGTGACAGAATCTGATGGCTTTACCTTTCCAGCCAAAAGGAAGGCCAGTATGTTACCCAAAGTGACCATCCCAAGGACCAGCCCAGCTTCAGATACAATAGGCACCTGATCATAACCCTTCTCTCGCAAGAGCTGGATATTCTGGTGACACCTTCACATTCCACCACCAAGGTTTTCTTCCATCCAAATCTTTCACATTAAGGAAATGCTTTTGTGTCATCCACTTATCACTAAGGAACTTAGACATGTAGTTCCGCACAGAGTCGGGGAGAATCACAACACATCTCTGGCCTTCCTTCAGCTCTTTAGCCGCTGACACAGCTACATACATGGCACTGCCCAAGCTGCCCCCACACAGAAGCCCCTCTTCTCTGATCAGGGCACGTGACATGGAAAAAGGTTCCTGATCGTTGGTCTTATACCACATGTCAACAACAGATCGATCCAGAACGGTTGGCATAAAGTCTTATCGGTCTGGTTGAGCTCTTCTGGTTCAGACAGTATAGAACCTTCAGGATCCACAGCAGCCATCTTGCAGCCTGGACACTTCTCTTTTAGTTTGCATGCCAATCTGGTAATGGTTCCACCTGTTCCGGCAACCAGCAAGTCCAACTGCCCTTCACACTGTTCTAGGATTTCTTCTGCGGTGCTGTCATAATGAGCGAGGGGGTTACTGGCATTCTGGTACTGAACCAAGATATGGGAATTTGGAATTTTATTCTTTAACCTCCAAGCAATGCCAACATGGGATTCTGGAGAATCAAATCTTGCGTTGGTCGGAGTCCGAACAATCACAGCACCAAGAGCATGAAGAACATCCACCTTTTCCATACTCATCTTCTCGGGCATGACAATAATACAGTGGTGTCCCTTTACTGCTGCAGCCAGAGCCAGTCAATTTCCAGATGTTGGTTATCAATTATTGTATCTTCTGGTTTGAGGATCCCGCCCCTTTCGGCATCTTGCACCATCCGCAGACTGATCTGATCCTTGACACTGCCGTCCGCATTTAAGAACTCACACTTTGCCGACAGCTCACACTTCAGCCCATGTATCTTCCCAATATTGTTTATTCGAACGAGTGGGGTGTCTCCAATTTTGTCCAGGATGCTTGGCAGGATTCAGGGATCTGCCCGTGGTTTTAGGCACATGTGTCTCTGTCATATGAAGGCAGGAGGTTGAATCAGAGCTTGGAGGCACAGATGGAATGATGTCCTCTAGGACAGGATAAGCTGATTACCTCTAGGACAGGTAGGATGAAGACATCTGTTATTATTTATAATTTATGTGTTTAATAGTTATTTGTAATTATGTTTATATACCTGTATTTAAGCACTGCTGTCTAGAATTGTAATAAGCATGTTTTGGCCAAGTTTTCAATCCGCTAATATATTGTGTTGGCTTTTTTTAACGGGGTGGATTTGGTTTTATCTTGCTTTGAGCTAGCCAGGAGTCATAAATAAGTCACTCATGTCAGGAATTTAAATGTAATTCTAAGTAAATTTCAAATTTTAGGACAAAAATAAGCTAAAAATAAATTAAAGTTTTTTCCAAATTAGCCCAGAATTTGAAATTCACTTGGAATTCATTTTACATCCCAACAATTCACATTTTTAGTAAATAACTAATAATTCTGTCATTAAAATTATTTTACATATTATACTAAATACATCAATTATCGGCAGACATTATACATTATTTTATATATAAATATAAATGTATTTATATGGAGGAAAAATTATGTGATAGCAGCAGATCCACTTTAACATGCACGTGTTAATCTGAACATACACTTAAACAATTTTTTGAACAAATTTAAAGTAAGTTCTTTTTTTTTACGTACTTGATAATATTCTAGCAATTACTGTAAGTATAGAAGCAGTGACACTCAAGTTAATGATGTTGTTATAATGATCTGGGGTGCACTTTATTCATGACAAGTGGCTTTTCCCAGCTCTAATAAACAAAGGATTTTATGTAAGAATAAAACGCTCCATGAAACTTCATAGTCCTTTAGAGCCTTATTATAAATAAGTGCATCACACACACTGCCCTCCAGAGAGAATTGACCCCTAGAGTCAGAGAAAATGATTAATCAAAGTATTATAATTTAGATGCAAAAGGCGATATTATTTATGTTATTATAGGGTCTTATAACACCTATTAATAATGAGAATTATTAGGAAGTTAGAAATATGATTGAAGAATTGTTTTATTCTTTAATATTTTTTTATTTAATATTGTTTTCCTGCTTTTCTTTTGGTTACAATTATTTGAAATAATGGGCCTTCAGTGATTTGTGTTCTTTGAATTCAGTATTTAGGGCAGTATTGTTATTTTTACAATTTGTTTTGTTTTGTTTTTGTTTTATTGGTGGCATATACTTTGTCACCAAATCCTAATGTATTATCAGTGCTATTACCCTTGTTAAATTAAAACATATTAAAGGTATAAACAGGTGGTATCAGGTAATGTAACATCTGAACTCCAGGGCACACTCGAAAACTTGTGAAAACTATTTCTACACCATCTGGCTAAAATATTTATTACTATTATAAGAGAATATAAAACAGAAAATAAAACAAAAAGTTTTGTATGTGGCAAACATGATATTATATAATAATCACTTAAGTCTATATGGCTCAGTTATGAGATAGAAATATCTCCCTAAATCAGAATGCAGGTAACACTCACATCAAACTTAAACTCGGGCTTTCCCCTTACCAGGCAGTGCTGGGTGGAGGTAATGCAACTTCACGTCCACCTTATACACACAGGTCTGTACTCAGAAGAGAAAGGAACTGTCGACAAATGATCGTTCCTCACTAGACCCTAGCACAGCCACCCTCCTACACCTAAAAGCTAGTTTTTGTTCTGATATTCCTATTTGTGTTTGTCGGTGTGTTTGTATGTAGCAGTGTGCATCTGTATGTACTAGTCTGTATCTATCTATTCCTGTGGCATGCTCTTCCCCTCTCTATTAGACTTTCACCCAGTCTCCACTCCTTCACAACATCTATGAAAACTTACTTCTTCAGGAAAGCATATCAATTAAACTGTCAACAGCTTTCCCTCCCTGTATCCTGAGTCTTCTTCTCCAACGGTCTTTAAAACAAAACACTAGGCCCTCAGTGAATACTATGCTAACAACCTACTTTTCTACCCTACCCTTACCTTTTGTGTCACTATACCCCACTCCCTCTAGCATGTAAGCCCATTGAGCAGGGCCATCAATCCCTCTGTTCCTGTGAGTCCAACTCGTCTGGTTACAAATACGTGTCTGTTGGTCCACCCATTGCACAGCACTACGGAATTTGTTGGCACTTTATAAATAATATTAATAGTAATAATAATAAAAATCTATGTGCATACCTCCAAATTATGGTGTTGCAAGAATCGGGAGGCCGGTGGGTAAAAAGGGTGGGTCTGGCCAATTCACTAGCAGATTAGTCTTGCATAAACACACACAAAGCTGCCTTCCCAGGCCAACCCATTCAGGGAAGACCCTACAGGGAGTCCACAAATTGGGAAGGTTAGGAAGCCTGTATCTATGCTGTTTTTGTGTATCTGTGTCTGTGGGTGACTGCGTGTATTTTTTGGCATGTGGCAATGTGAACCTGGGTGTGTTTGTTAATGTATGTCTGGTAATGTGTGTGTTTGCAATGTGCATTTATGTGCGATATGTACTTCTGTGTTTGTATTTTTGGGAATGCATATATTTAGCTGTGTGTGTCCTTGAGTGTGCTCTTGTATGTGTGCCTGCATCCTGTAAGTGTATCTCAGAGCACGCAGATAGCAATTGAGCATTGCTTCAGCATAAAGTCTGCCATTTACATTTAAAAAAAATAAAATCAAATATTAAGAAAAAAAAAATATACCCACCTTGAATTTCCTGTATTCAATACAGTCCAAGTAAATAAGTATCTGAATATTTTTTTTGGCCAATCATGGCACTTTCACTATTTCCAATGGAAGAGCTGTACATATATCCCATCATCCACTGCCCCTGTGGGATATACAGCTCTGCAGTGGTAGAAAAACGGTGGATGTATTGTCTAATTTTCAGAAAGGTAACGGAGGGCATATATTGGGCTAGGAAAAGGACCAAAAGATAAATAGATACCACATGTGCTGAGAGATTCTCGGATTCCATTATCCTACATCGCTCTGTAAACGTACAAAGCTACAAAAAACATACACAGCTGCAAATCACAGTCACTACAAACAGAGAAGCAAATCATTTTCAAATTATAAATTCGTTGGTGAGTAGTCCATCAAAAGGGCGAATGAATAGATGAATTAGCGACATTAGACACCCTCTTTTTAAATAATATTTTTAATTAGAATTAGCAATAGAGAATCCATTTATTGTGTGGCTGCCTTGCTAGCTTTCAACAACATAGGAATAAATGTGTAAACCTAAATCTGCAATTTATCCAACTTTTGCCTACAGTATAATTAAATCCTAATGGAGCAGAGGTGCAATTACCTATAAATACTATGCTAATGTGCTTGAAATATGTGTATGTACTGTATTTGATTTAGCACACTAGCTCTCTCTGCTATGTTTGTCATTTTCTTTAATAGGTCAATGGATTGAACCACTGTCTTTCTTTGTAATAAGCAAACATATTTTAGACCATAAAAAAAATGCTATTGCTTTAGATACGTCATGATAAGGGAAAGAAAAAGGGCATCTGTTATATGCTAAGTCTAATACATGCTACTGGTTTAATGACCTAAAGCAAAATACCAGAGCTGAGCGCATTCGTGTAACCTTTGCTATATCTCTGTACTTATTTTGTATTTACTATGATTTTTTTTTCTATTTAAATACATTGCTGCTGTATATTTTATATTTCGCCATCCCTTGTTTTGTCTAGCTGTGAGAGAAATAATATATCTCATATAGTCCACAGATTGGGACTTACTATACCAGGAATGAAAACCAATAAATGATTACAGCTCTGTTAGTGGCCTTGTATTTAAACAAAGAAACTTTATATTTTGGGATGAAACTGAGACTGTTGCAGTTTCCAGACCTATTTGACCATCTGTTGCCAAAATAATGACCACGTGCGTTGTGCGTTAATTGGCACAATTATGGCAGGCATTCATAAAAGACAGACACTGTGTCTAATACCAGCATATGGAAAGTTAACATTGCTACTATGTATAGGAGGAGTGGTCAAAAAGGAATTCTGAATAAAAACGTATAATTAGGCGCTCATTATAATATGTAAAATGTGGGGGGCAGCAGTAAATCACTTAAGCTTTTCCAAAACCCTTGTTGCAATACACAAAAAACCAAAAGAAGGTATAGATAAACATTGCAACAAAGAGAATAATTACTGTAGAAACCAGCCCATAAATGCAATAATATATATACCAACATGGGCCAATGGAGATTCTTTGTTTTCAATTTCAAGGATTGCCAAAGGAAATTTTAACAAACAAATAATGGTGCAATATAGTATTAATAGTGTTTTATAATAAAATGGTATTATTTCATAGTGAACTGATATTTGTTTGTTTTCATTTACTTCGGATAATTTTAATATTGAACAAAAAGAATCTCCATTGACCCATGCATGTATATTTATATTATTGCATTTATGGGCTGGTTTATATAGAAAATTACCCCCTTCTTGGCTTGTTTTGTCTATACTTTCTGTTTGGGAATCTGCAGTGTGTATTTTTTGCTTTTAGCAAACATTTTAGCAAACAAATGTCCACCTGACAGGCTGACTTGGACATGACTAATGTCTTGCTTGTGAAAATGTCCATTCTTTGTGAGCTTTCTCACAGCACGTTGAAGGTGCCAGTCATCATATTTCACCATCACACAT